GCAGCCTCGACCTGCTGGGCTCTGGCGATCCTTCCGCCTCAGCCTTCCAGGTAGCTGGAATTACAGGCACGTGCTACCACACCCGGCTCATTTTTTGATTTTGTTGTAGAGATGAGGTCTTGCCAAGTTGCCCAGGCGGGTCTCGAACCCGCGGGCTCAGGCAGTCCACTCACCTCAGCCTCCCAAAGCGCTGGGATTACAGGCTAAGCCACCGAGCCCGGCTTGCTCCTGTTATTTAAATGCTCTCTATTTTTTGGAGTCCAAGTTCAGTGTCACCTCCCTCTTCCATGAAGCTGCCTCAGTTATTCCAACCCATCCCTCCTTGGCCGAAGATTATTTGCATCCAAAGTAACTGCCACATTGTTCAGCATTTCATTATTTCATACTTGATTGTATATCAAAGTTATAAACTCTGAGGAAATGTGAGTTTATTCTATGCTTTATCTATTTTACAGTATCTAGTACAGAGTGGACAGATTGATGCTCAACAAATACTTGATCATTATTTGATTAAAATTAAAGATGTGATTTTTTTCTCCCTCCTCTTTCAAATTATGGCAGATATTAATGGTTTCATGCATTATATAGCTGTGGCAGTGCAGAATCCTTTTATGTGTTTATTATGACCTATTCAAGAAGTTGGTTCTAATTCTAGTTAAAGGAACACTACCAGTAAAGAACCTCATTTCTCAAAGGGGTAACTTCCATGTTGCTCAGCTTGTTAAGTAATCTTTGGCTTCTCTGACCTATAATTTCCTCTTCTCTAAAAATGAGAAGTCATGTCTTTGGCCACTTGTCTCTTACAGTTTCACTGGGAAAGTGTACATGGCCAAAGAAACTGATGTTTCTCAGCCTCTACCTTGGAAAGAGGTGCTGCTGTCACCTACTTTATGATACACTATGCCCAGAAAGGAACTTTGAAGACTTAATAGACATATTATTTAGCAATTTCCATTTTTAATTTTCCTATATGTTATAAACATTTTCTTTACTAAAACAGCTTCCTGGTATGAGCCCTAGGACAGTTTATAATTTTGAATTTTGCTGTTGGTTTATTTTCAGAATAGACAATTCAGATAGACTCCTTTTTTACCTTGTAAAGTTTGACCTAAATAGATGCTAGCCACTCAGTTTTATGTTGACACGTTAAAAAAAAAATGTGTTGAGAAATTAAAGGATATGACAGTTCTTTGCTCGGTGGCAAGGGGTGGGATTTTCATCCTAATATCAGGAAGTCAAAATATGTTCAGCACTTTTCCTATAGATCTGCATTAAATGATGGTGGTGCTTGGATTTGACTAATGGCATTCTTGCATTTTCTTGGGTCAGATAGGATATCAATGTTGTATTATTTTATAGAGAATTGCCCAGATCAAAATCCCCGTCTCAAGAGCTGGGACCCAGGACAAGATTCTACAAAACAAGTTGTTATCAAGGAGGGAGATATGTTCCATCTGACCTCAGATGCCACGGTGAATTCTATAGTCATTCGGGATGGAGGTAGGTAATGGTTTCTGCTTTGGGAACTGCAAGGTTGCTCCTTTTTTTTTGAGTCGGAGTCTTACTCTGTCATCCAGACTGGAGTGTAGTGGCATGCTTATGGCCACTGTGGCCTCGACCTGCTGGGCTCAGGCAATCCTTCCTCCTCAGCCCTCCAAGTAGCTGAAACTACAGGCGCGCTACCATGCCCAGGTTTTTTTTATTTTTTTAATTGTAGAGACGAATTCTCATCAAGTTGCCCAGGCTGGTCTCGAACTTCTGAGCTCAGGCAATCCTCTCGCCTTGGCCTCCCAAAGTCTGGGATTACAGGCTTTGCGACCGGCAAGGTTGCTCTTTTTTTTTTTTTGAGTTGGAGTCTCACTCTGTCGCCCAGACTGGAGTGCAGTGGCCACTCCTGGCCACTGCAACCTTGACCTGCTGGGCTCCGGCGATCCTTCCACCTCAGCCTTCCAAGAAGTTGGAACTACAGGCGCGCACTACCACGCCTGGCTAATTTTTGATTTATTGTAGGGATGAGGTCTCACCAACTTGCCTAGGCGGCTCTTGAACCCGCGGGCTCAGGCAATCCACTCACCTCAGCCTCCCAAAGCGTGGGATTACAGGCTCTGCCACCGAGACTGACTAAGGTTGCTCTTTAATATGGGGCATATTTGATGTTCCTGATGTAGAAAACTATTCTTTAACAGAATAGCCTTTAGGATGTAATGTCACTCTAAGCTTGTAAAAGTTCCTGAGGTAAAACCATAGAATTTAAGGGCTGTAAGGACCTTCAATATCACTTAAATCAAGACCCTTGATTTATAGACAAGGAAATAGTTCAAGAAAGGTGATCTTTCAGAGCTGAATCTTTGTTATAATTGATGAGGGTGATGATAGAGTTAACATGAGTTAACATATATAAAAATAAGATTCAGATTTGAGTTTTTTTGTTGTTTTGTTTTGTTTTGATTCAGAGCTTCACTCTGTCGCCCAGGCTGGAGTGCAGTGGCATGCTCATGGCCACTACAGCCTTGACCTGCTGAACTCAGGTGATCCTTCTGCATCACCCTTCCAAGCAGCTGGAACTGCAGGAGTGTGCCGCCACACCTGGTCTTGCGTTGCCCAGGCTGGTCTCAAACCCCTGGGTTCAGGCAATCTTGCCGCCACCTCCCAAAGTGCTGGGACTACAGGTGTGAGCCACTGTGCCTGGCAAAGATTTGTAGGCTATTAGATATTTTTGTGGAAATTATTGAACCTCTCATTGAAGAGACTGAAATTCATATTCATGGCACTTTTAGTATCTTAAGATATGATCTCTTTATTTTTCCCCTTACTATAATTTGAAAATCAGTTTAATTTTCTAAGCAGACTCAGTAAATTCTTTTTTTCCAACTTAATTGTGGAAGTGTGTTTCACCTTAAGGTGAAATCTGTTTCTTTGTATGTCAGAAAAATGTTTTAGAAGTTGACTTACAGCCGGGCTTGGTGGCTCAGCCTGTAATCCCAGCTCTTTGGGAGGCTGAGGCGAGAGGATTGCCTCAACCTGAGAGTTTGAGACCCACCCAGGCAACCTGGCGAGACCTTGTCTCTACAATAAATCAAAAACTAGCCAGGCGTGGTAGCGCATGCCTGTAGTTCCAGTTACTTGTAAGGCTGAGGCAGAAGGATCACAGGAGCCCAGCAGGTCGAGGCTGCAGTGGCCGGGAGCATGCCACTGCCCTCCAACCTGGGTGACAGAGTGAGACTCCAACTCAAAAAAAAAAAAGAAGAAGTTGACTTACAATGGTGTTGTTCCTTCCAGGGATGCTTGTATTTGGGGACAATAAAGATGGATCCAGAAACATTACTTTGAGGACTCGTTATATCCTGATCCAGGATGGTGGGGCGCTTCATATTGGAGCAGAAAAATGCCGCTATAAATCCAAAGCGACAATTGCCTTGTATGGCAAGTCAGATGAAGGTGACAGTATGCCAACATTTGGCAAAAAGTTTATTGGTGTGGAAGCTGGTGGGACACTGGAATTACACGGGACACGGAAGACATCGTGGACGTTGCTGGCGAGGACTCTGCATTCCTCAGGCTTGCCCTTTGGGGCCTATGTCTTTGAAAAGGACTTTTCCCGGGGCCTTAATGTGAGGCTCATTGACCAAGACACAGCCAAAATTTTGGAAAGTGTGAGGTTTGATACGCATGAATACCACAATGAGAGCAGGCGACTTGAGGAATTTCTGAGGATCCAGGATCCAGGCCGGATTGTTGCTATAGCCGTCGGAGATTCTGCTGCCAAAAGCCTCTTAGAAGGAACGATCCAGATGATCCAGGACCGATTAGGAAGTAAGCTGATCCAAGGACTGGGCTACAGGTAGGCCTACCTTGTTCTTTTCTTCTCAGTGCTGAGAGTTGGTGTGAGAGGAGAGCGCGAGTGGAGAAAGAAACCACAGCACCCCACAGCCTCACTCAGGTGTCAGAATGACCATTGCCATTTGTAGGTCGGGTGCCTTGGAAACACCATGGGGCCGGAGGGATACGGGATACAGATGCTTTTTTCTTGGTTTTCAAAGCCCTTTGTGAACTGTCGTGCTTATGAAATGTTGAGAACAGAAATGTGGTACTGAAAAACAATTAGGCAGTTTAAGGACAATTTGCCTCAGAAGATACTTCCTCCTTTCATTACCCTCTGAAGAGAATATGAAACTTAGGCTAATTGAGGCAACCTCTGAGCTGAAAGGTTGGGGCACAATTTCTTTCTTCTTCTTTTTTTTTTTTCCCCTGAGTAGGAGTCTCTGTCACCCAGGCTGGAGTATGGTGGTGGCATGCTCATGCAGTCTTGAACTGCTGGGCTCAGGTGATCCTTCCACCTCAGCCTGCTAAGTAGCTGGAACCACAGGTGGCTAACTTTTTTGATTTAGTGTAGTGACAAGGTCTCCCCAAGTTGCCCAGGCTGGTCTCGAACGCTTGGACTCAGGCAATCCTCTTGGCTCTGCTTTTCAAAGTGCTAGGGTTACAGGCATGAGCCACTGCACCTGCCGGTTAGGGCAGAATTTCATGCTGAGGTATAGAACCTGTCTTAAAAGCACAGAGGGGAAGAGTTTTCTTTAATTTTTCTGAAATTCTTTGCGTGTTAATTTGAATCTGCTTGTTAGATTCGCACAGGTCTGTGGAGCCCTGGCATATGTGAGGAAGGAAGAAGTGAGAAGGCTAGGAAATTCATCTGGATAATAGAATTCATTTTTCATGCCATATTCTAATTAACCATGATTTCCTAATACAGTTCTGAGTCTGGGGAAAGTAGCTGGCTCAACATTTAATTCAAAAAACAGAAATTTTCATTCTGCTGAGTGTTCTTAGTAAAGTTAGGGAAAACTGACAGTGAAAAAAGTAGTAAGACCTTAAAATCCACTTGCTGAAGTGATCTAGTTACTTTTTTTCCTTTGGTGTAGGTTATTGGAATTGTATATTACCTGAGAAATCTAGAGAAGGTTAGGAAGAGAAAAACCAGTGGGGAAAAACAGTCTGTAATATTTTTAAAATGTCTTTTATTCACCTAAGGGATATTTAGGAGATGCTGAATACTGGGTACCCATCAATGCTTAGATGAAAAGACATTGTCTCAGACCCCTTGTTTAATCCAGTGGCTAAACAGATACCTAAATAGATGAGTCTACAGTGAGACACGCTGCAGTTACAGACTGTGATGGGAGCATAAGAAGAAAGAGTCCCTAAATTGGCCCAGGGAACCAGTGCAGGCTGGTTCCTGCTGAAGGCAAGAGACCTGATGTAAGTTCAGGAGCGTGCTGTGTAAAGCCATGGGGAAGGAAGGGTTTCTAGACAGAGGGAATTCTATGTGCAAAGCCTCAGAGTTTTTTTTCCTGGTTTCTGCTTGTTTGTTTTTCTTTAATGTATATACAAAAAAGTACTAAAAACAAGAATGAAGAGCTTAATGATTTGTCCCAACATGATACCCATGTAGCCACCACCCAGGTCAAAAAATAGGACATTGCTGGCAGCCCAGAAGCTCCCTTCCTATCCCCTGCTACCCCACCAAAGGTGACCACGCTCCTGAATTTGTGGGATCCACTGAAGTTTAGTAGGTTTGCTTGTTTTTGAACTTTCATATAAATGAAAACAGATAATAGATCATATTTTGTTTCTGGCTTTTTGGCACAAAGACATATTATTAAATGTCATTCATGTTGTTGCATGTGTCAGCTCATTTTCATTGCTTTTTTTTTTTTTCCCCCTGAGACAGGGTCTTTAATCTGTGATCCAGATTGGAGTGCAGTGGCATGATCACTGTTCACTGCAGTCTCGATGTATGCTCAAGCGATCCTTCTACCTCATCCTCTCAAGTAGCTGGAACTGCAGGCGTACTCCACTATGCCCAGCTAATTTTTGTATTTTCTGTGGAGACGAGGCCTCATTATGTTGTCCAGGCTGATCTAGAACCTGGGCTCAGGTGATTCTCTTGCCTCAGCCTCCCAAAGTGCTGGGATTACGCGTGAGCTACCATGCCTGGCCTAATGTTTATTTTCTATTGTATGAATATGCCACAATTTATTTTTTATTTTATTTTATTTTTTTGAGTTGGAGTCTCACTCTACCACCCAGGCTGAAGTGCAGGGCATGCTTACAGCCACCCCAGTGTTGACCTGCTGGGCTCTGGGGATCCTTCCACCTCAGTCTTCCAAGTAGCCAAAACTATAGGCACGTGCTACCATGCCCGGCTAGTTTTTTTTTTTTTTTAATTGTATAGACGAGGCCTCACCAAGTTCCCTGGGCTGGTCTCAAACCTGCAGGCTCAGGCAGTCCACTCGCCTCAGCCTCCCAAAGTGCTGGGGTTACAGGCTTGAGCCACTGCACCCAGCCTTTGTCTTTTGGTGTAGATGTACACATATTTCTATAATTTATAGACCTAGGAGTGGAAGCATGGACTTTTGAAAGTTAGAGACCTACTTTGTCTCACTATCCAGTGATGCCAGGGATTACAACACCTATTTCTTCATGTCATTATTGTTTCTAGATTTGCCTGGTCATTAACTGTGAATATTTTGGTTCCTTTTCCTACCGGTTTCTAAATTCCCTTTAAAATCTTGCCGCTGATTTAGTGGAGGAATTAGAGTTGTGATCTTTAGCCAGCGTTCCATTGCTTGACATTATCTCCAATGTACATAAACACATAGGCCTTTGAAGATAATGTTCTAGTGAAACTTTCCTCAAGTGGAGGAGGGAAGTGGGAGTGTTTTGGAGATAATGTCAGTAGAAGAGAACATTGTTTTATAGTTGCTGAGGCAGTTCTGGTAAATAAAGGGAGCCTCTGATATTCTTCTTCTCTTTCCCTCTCAAATAGGAGATAATAAATTGAGACATTCTCTATTTGATTTTTTTCTGCTATAGTAAGGGATATAAATAGAGCTACAAAGCACTGTCTTCCAAAGAGTAACTAATCCACACAGGGATGGCTGTGGAATTTATAAGGGTGTAGACATCCTTTGGTTAGCTTTTATCTGTGAACATTTCAGCCATCTGTCTGGCACAGATTACATTTGTTTTTTTGGGTTTTTTTTCCCCTAGAGTAGAAAGTTGACATTTTTCTTTTAAACCAGGAGTCTTAAGGCAAATTTTCTGGCCTCTTTTAATTGTCCTTTTTTCTTTGATTGCTTTTACCACGAGCTTGAGCGAGTCTCTTGGGTATTTAGCATCAGAAATAATAGCGTTTTGAAGCACATTGCTTTCAACAAATAGATATATAGAACGTAAAATTTAAAATCTGTTGAATAGTGATTCTGCACCTTTAATTTAAGAATGTTAAGAAAGCTCTAACTCATTGGTTTTACAACCTTGCCTGCACACCTGGGGACTTTAAAAAGCCCTGAGGCTTAGGGATTACTTTAGACCAATTAAGTTAGGAAGAGGGTTAGGACTGAAGGTTGATAATTACTACTCTAACCTCTACCCTCTAATTTAGGGATTCTCAAAGTATGGTGCCCTGACTGGCAACATTAGCCACACTTGGGAACCTGTTAGAAATGCAAATTCTCGGGCAGGGCGCCGTGACTCAAGCCTATAATCCCAGCACTTTGGGAGGCCAAGGCGAGAGGATTGCATGAACCCGTGGGTTCGAGACCAGCCTGGGCAACATGGTGCGACCTTGTCCTTACAATAAATCAAAAAGTGAGCCGGGCATGGTGGCGCATGCCTGTTGTTCCAGCTACTTGGAAGGCTGAGGCGGAAGGGTCACCTGAGTTCAGCAGGTTGAGGCTGCGGTGGCCAGGAGCGTGCCACTGTACTCCAGCCTGGGTGACAGGGTGAGACTCTAACTCAAAAAAAAAAAAAAAAAAAAAAAAAAGAAAGAAATGCAAATTCCCTGATCTTACCTAAGACACTCAGGGGGTGGGGCCCAGCAATCTCATTTAACATCCCTATGATTCTAATGCTTAACTAAAGTTTGAGAACCACAGTTCAAATCCAGTGGGTCTCAAATCTAGCTGAGATTTTCTTTTCAAGTTTTAAACTGAGAGTTTTATAAAGAAAAATTTATGACCCTTTTTTTGGTTCCTTTTTCTTTAATTTCTTCTGCCACAAGCTTGAGCAAGTCTCTTGGATATTTAGTATCAGCAATTATAGCCATCTGGGAACTTTAAACATATACCAATGTTAGGCCCAGCCGTTAGCCTTAGGACTGCTTTGGTCTGGGATGGGGTCTGAGTATTGATATATTTCTTAAGCTCTCTGTGTGATTATATTATGCAGTTAGATTTTTGAGACCATCCTAACAGGATAGTTTAAAAGAAAGCAGATTATAATTTTATTTTTTTAATTTTTAAATTTTACTTATTTTTTGAGTCGAGTTCTCACTGTCACCCAGGCTGGAGTGCAGTGGCACGATCATGGCTCACTGTAGCCTCAACCCTCCTCGGCTTCCACCTTAGCCTCCTGAATGAATGGGACTACAGGCACGTGTCATCATACCTGGTTAATTTCATTTTTTATGTAGAGACGAGGTCTCCCTATGTTACCCAGGCTGGTCTCGAACTCCTGGACTCAAGCAGTGCTCTCACTTGGGTCTGCCAAAGAGCTGGGATTACAAGAGTGAGCCACTGCACCAGGAAATAATTATTTTAAAATAAATAAAGTAAGAGTTTGTGGCCAGAATGAAATGTGAGTGGGATGGTTGTGTATTGAGGAAATCAGTGATTAATTGAAGTCATAGTCATTGGTGTTTCACCTGTTACAGAGCTGGAGCAATAAGTATTTAAAAGCCAGGTGCCCACTACTGCAAATGAGTGAGAACACGTGATACTTGGTTATTTGTTTCTGTGATAGATCACTCAATATTATAGCCTCTAAGTCCATCCAAATTGCTGCGAAGCTCATAATTTTGTCCTTATTTATGGCTGCGTAATAGTCCATCGTGTATATATACCACATTTTTTTAATCCAGTCCTCTTTTGATGGGCAGCACAGTTGGTTCCATGTTTTTGCTGTTGTGAATAATGCTGCAATAAACGTGTGTGGGAAACTGCCAGGGAAAGGTGGGGGTGGGATTGGCAGTAGTAGGAAACTGCCAGGGGAGGGGGATGCACACCTCATCAACAAGAGTACCTAACCAGGCTCGGTGGCTCAGCCTGTAATCCCACGCCTTTGGGAGGCTGAGGTGAGTGGATTGCCTGAGCCCGCGGGTTCAAGACCCGCCTGGGCAGCGAGAGCTCATCTCTACAATAAATAAAAAATCAGCCGGGCGTGGTAGCACATGCCTGTAATTCCGGCTACTTGGAAGGCTGAGGCGGAAGGATCGCCGGAGCTCAGCAGGTCAAGGCTGCAGTGGCCGGGAGCAGCCACTGCACTCTAGTCTGGGCGACAGAGTGAGACTCCAACTCAAAAAAAAAACAAAACAAGAGTACCTGCATAATGAACATTTGTATACCTAACCCTGAATTGCACCCCACATCTTTGAAATAAAAAGTTAAAAATAAAATAAGATAAAATAAAAAGCCAGGTGCATTTTCTTTTATGATGTTAGTTACTTCAGTCAAGGTTTGGAATTGAAATACAAGAATTAAATAGCACCCTGTTAAAACATCTGTGTCAGGGATATTTGGGTCAATACCATGACAAATAATCAAATACACCTTCTCCTTTTCCTTCTAGGCAAGCCTGGGCTTTAGTTGGCGTCATTGATGGTGGAAGCACATCTTGCAATGAATCTGTGAGAAACTATGAAAATCACAGTAGTGGTGGGAAGGCTCTTGCCCAAAGAAAATTTTATACTGTGGATGGTCAGAAGTTCTCTGTGACAGCTTACAGTGAATGGATTGAAGGTAGGCAAGTACAGTTGATATTCCTATAAGACGTTGGTAAGTATTGTGACAGATTTTTTGCAAAGTAGTATTGTATTCAAATAACAGTCTCTCTGGTTAGATTTCTCAACTAGTTGAAGTTGAAATTTATAATCTCCTAACCTTTTAGATGGTGCTTAATCTTGTAAGAACCAAATGCCTCTGAGGGTGTCCAAACTAGAGCAGATCATTTTTCAGTCTAGAAAGCAACCTTCTGGGTTGGTAGTGTGGTGGTGGTGTATTTTAGGGATGAGGAAGCTGGAATCAAGCTCCAGCTTTCTGTTTCCAAGGTCACTGCTGTTTCTTTGCCTCTGCCAAAAAGCATAGGTGGGTGAGAAGCATTTCTTTTTTTTTTTCTTTGAGTTGGAGTCTCACTCTGTCACTCAAGCTGGAGTGCAGTGGCATGCTGCTTATGGCCACTGCAGCCTCGACCTGCTGGGCTCAGGCTATCCTTCTGCCTCAGCCCTCCCAGTAGCTGGAACTACAGGGGTGTGCCACCAGGCCTGGCTAGTTTTTTGATTTATTGTAGAGATAAGGTCTCACCAAGTTGCCCAGGCTGGTCTCGAACCTTTGGGCTCAGGAATCCTCTCGCTTCTGCCTCCCAAAGTATTGGGATTACAGGCATGAGCCACTACACCCAGCCTTAGAGTTATTATTATTATTATTAATTATTTTTGAGTTGGAGTGCAGTGGCATGCTCATAGCCACCGCGGCCTCGACCTGCTGGGCTCCAGCGATTCTTCCGCCTCAGCCTTCCAAGTAGCTGGAACTACAGGCGTGCGCTACCACACCCGGCTAATTTTTTGATTTACTGTAGAGATGAGGTCTCGCCAAGTTGACCAGGCGGGTCTCGAACCCACAGGCTCAGGCAATCCACTCACCTCGGCCTCCTAAAGCATGGGATTACAGGCTGAGCCACTGAGCCCAGCCCGTGGATGTTATAGAAGCAGGAAATGCTTCTACACTGGGTTGCATGTAAAAGAAGCTAAGCTATGGAGGAATTGGACCAGCTTTTTAGTTCTTGTGTGCTTAATAGGGAACCACCTTTGCATTTCAAAGGGGATATTAGGAGAGATCAGTAGTAGTTACTAGAGTGTATAATTGATATCATCCCAGGAAAAGAGCTGAGTTGTACAGGGGCACCATCATGTGACCTCAGGTAACATTGCAGATCATACTGGTCATATGCATCCATTCAGCAGACATCCATGAAGCTGGTACAACAAACAAGACAGAATAGAGAATATGTACCTTGATATACTCTGGTGTCTTCACTGATTCAGTTTCCAAGGAGGTGAGCAATCTTCCAAATGGGAGGGTGTGAACAGCACCAGGGAGGATACCGTGAGAATACTGGAAAGAGGTTTCTTCTAGCAAGGATGTTTGGGAAGTCTTTAAAGATTCACCTGAACTTTATAAAAAGGTGGATAGTATCCTGGCTGGTGAAGAAGAGTGGAAGGATATTCTAGGTAAAGAAGAATGCATGAGCAAAGTCACAGAAATGAAGGGTTTTCTGAAACAAATTTTTATGCTTAATATTAAGATTGTCTATGTCTTAATGTCCTATCTCTTGTTCTGTGCTTAGATCAAATTGAATCCAAAATGAAACTGAATACTGGTATTTATTACAGATCTAGTCTGTGATTGGCAACTTCTACCCAAGTATATGTTCTTGTCACATATTAAGATGGTGTGGGGTCAGTACTACAACTTTCATGCTGAGTTGAAACATAACAAGAGATTTGGGAATTGAGAGCCATCTTCAAAATTATAAAAGAGTAGTTTGCTGGACGCAGTTGCTCATGCCTGTAATCCCAGCATTTTGGGAGGCTGAGGTGGGAGGATCGCTTGAGCCCAGGAGTTCAAAATTAGCCTAAGCAACATAGTGAGACCTCGTCTTCCCCCAAAATAAAAAAATTAACTGGGCATGGTGGTGCGCATGCATATCGTCCCAGCTACTTGAGAGGCTGAGGCAAAAGGATTACCTGAGCCTAGAGGTCGAGGCTGCGGTGAGCTATGATTATGCTACTGAACTCCAGCCTGAGTGACAAAGTGAGACCCTGACTCAAAAAAAAATAAAAAGCTTAGTCTAACAAAGTGACACCTGATATCCCTTCATGGCTAGTGGTGCATGGGATACTCTCCTCTTGAGGACAGGAGTCAATTTATATTTTTATCATTTATATCTGCAGAGTGACTGGCACGTGGCTGAATTGTGGTTATCTTAACTTTTATTTGTGAATCATTGAAAGGGTTGATTTTAGAAGGAAGAAATGACAGTTAAAACATCACTTTCTTTCTCTCTCTCTTTTTTCTTTTTTTTTTTTTTTTTTGGTTTAGGCGTTTCTCTTTCAGGTTTCCGGGTAGAGGTTGTGGACGGAGTCAAACTTCACCTGCTGGATGATGTTAGTAGCTGGAAACCTGGAGACCAGATTGTGGTCGCAAGCACAGACTATTCTATGTACCAAGCAGAGGAATTCACTCTTCTTCCCTGTCCCGAATGCAGCCGTTTTCAGGTCAAAGTCAAAGGTACCAGACTGTTGAGAGTACTTCTTGGGAAACACATTCTTTTCTTGGAATTTGATTCCTGGAATCTTTTTTCCTTCCAATCATTACCTCCACTACCACCACCACCATCAACCTCCTCATCATCAGTATTGAAGATTGTAGCAGTGGAGTGCACTGAGTACTCGATTCCAGAGAATGTTAGATAAAAGTTGTTATAGATCAACATTTGCTATTATTGATACATAGCAGAAAAGTTAGTATTTCTGTGCTTTAGTTTCTTTGTTAAAAAAAATGTGGACTAGATGAAGTGGTTTTGCAAGGTCCTTTCCAGTTTCTTCCTTCTTTATTTATTTATTTTTGAGTGGGAGTCTCACTCTGTCACGCAGGCTGGAGTGCAGTGGCACACTCACGGCTACCCCAGCGTCGACCTGCTGGGCTCCAGTGATCCTTCTGGCTCAGCCTTCCAAGTAGCCAGAAATACAGGTGCGCGCTACCACGCCTGGCTAATATTTTTATTTTTTATTTTTATAGTAGAGACGAGGGCTCACCAAGTTGCCCGGACTCGTCTCAAGCCCATGGGCTCAGGCAGTCCACTCACCTCAGCCTCCCAAAGTGCTGAGATTACAGGCTGAGCCACCAAGCCTGTCTCAGTTTCTTCCTTATTGATTGTCAGACAATAGTAAACCCAGCTATTAACTAGATCCATTTATTTTTATTTATTTGTTTGTTTGTTTTTGAGTCAGGGCCTCACTCTGTCGCCCAGGCTGAAGTGCAGTGGCACAATTGTAGCTTTGACCTTCTGGCCTCAGGTGGTCCTTCCTCCTCAGCCTCCCAAGTAGTTGGGACTATAGGTGCCTGCCACTGTGCCTGGCTAATTTTTAAATTTTTTTTTGTAGAGACAAAGTCTGGCTGTGTTGCCTAAGCTGGTTTTGAAGTCTTGGACCCAAGCAATCCTTCTACCTTGGCCTCCCAAAGTGCTAGGATGACAGGCATGAGCCACTGCACCTGGCTTACATCAATTTATTAGTAGAAGTAATTTTTTTTTTTTTTTTTTTAGTGGGAGTCTCACTCTGTCTCCCAGAGTGGAGTGCAGTGGCCGCTCCCGGCCACCGCAGCCTCGACCTGCTGGGCTCCGGCGATCCTTCCGCCTTAGCCTTCCAAGTAGCCGGAATTACAGGCGCGCGCTACCACGTCCGGCTAATTTTTTTATTTTATTGTAGAGATGAGGTCTCTACAATAAAATAAATGAGCCACCGAGCCCGGCTAGTAGAAGTAATTTTTAATTTTAAAAACATCTCATGGAGACTGCCTGTTTGAAGCCCCCCCCCAAAAAAACTCACTAATCTTTAAAATGGAACAAAACAGGTATTTTTATAAATACCTATTCATAAAACTACTTCCTACTGTAATCTTGAATAGTATACTTTTTGAAGGAGAGCAAATGCAAAAAAGAGATTCTTACTGTAGTGGTGTATAGAAGGAATGCTAGGCACTTATTCTGGTTCTAGGCAAAGCTTCTTTGTACATTGCTTCATTTATGGTATTCTTGCATGTTTCACCCACTGTATTGCTTTCTTTTCCTCTTTATTAAAAATTATACATTTATGGTATAAAACAAAAGAATTGGCCAGGCTCCGTGGCTCAGCTTGTAATCCCACGCCTTTGGGAGGCCGAGGTGAGTGGATTGCCTGAGCCTGCGGGTTCAAGACCCACCCGGACAACTTGGTGAGACTTCATCTCTACAATAAATCAAAAAAATTAGCTGGGCGTGGTAGCACACACCTGTAGTTCCAGCTACTTGGAAGGCTGAGGCGGGAGGATCACCGGAGCCCAGCAAGTCAAGGCTGCGGTGGCCGGGAGCGGCCACTGCACTGGAAGTGGCCACTGCACTTTAGTCTGGGCAACAGAGTGAGACTTAAACTCAAAAAATTAAAAAACTTAAAAAATTTAAAAAATAAAACAAAAGAATTTTCAGTAACTGTTTGATAAGTGCTTATTCTGTTTTCAGTAATTTAGAGTAATAGTAATTTCGAGCTTTGATGTTTAAGGAAAAATTTTCTGCTTTGATTTAAAAAAAAAAGGTCCTTGTGCTTCATTCAGTGTTGTACATTTCCTTGATAATTCCAAGCACAGCCGGGCTTGGTGGCTCAGCCTGTAATCCCACGCTTTGGGAGGCTGAGGTGAGTGGTTTGCTTGAGCCCGCGGATTCAAGACCCGCCTGGGCAACTTGGCGAGACCTCATCTCTACAATAAATCAAAAATTAGCTGGGCATGGTAGCGCATGCCTGTAGTTCCAGCTACTTGGAAGGCTGAGGAGGAAGGATCACCAGAGCCCAACAGGTCGAGGCTGCGGTGGCCGGGAGCGGCCACTGCACTCCAGTCTGGGTGACAGAGTGAGACTCTAACTCAAAAACAAACAAACAAAAAACCAAAGCACAAGCAAAACAAGAACAAGAAATACAAAAAACCCAAACTGCGATACCATCTGGCATTAATTCTTTTTGGAAATTCCCATTCTTGTTAACAAGTCTACATGATGAATCTTCATGAAATCACCCCTCATGATTTATGTGTATTTTTCCTTCCTGAGTTTATATAATAAGAGCATCAGCTTATTATTAAAATTCTTTACACTTCCAGTAAAAGTGGAAATTTAAAAGAATGCATAATAGTAGTAAAATAAGGAGAAATAGGAAGGAAAAGAAGGCAATTTCTGTATTTTTGTTTTTTTAGTCGGTGTTCCACTCTTCATCCAGACTGGAGTAAAGTGGCATGATTATGGCTCACCACAGCCTTGAACTTTTGGGATTAAGTGTTCTTCATGCCTCAGCCTCCCAAGTTGCTGATACAGATGCATACCACCATTCCCGGCGAATTTTTAAATTTTTTTATTGAGATGGTTCTTGCTATCTTGTCCAGGCAGATCTTGAACTCCTGGGTGCAAGCAGTCTTCCCACTTCAGCTTCCCAAAGTGCTGGAATTATAGATGTGAACCACCATGCCCAGTCAGTATTGTTAATATCCAAATGCAGACTACTTTAGCTTTCAAGTAGAAGCATTAACAGTTGACATCCTGATATCATCATCTACAAAATCATTTGTTTTATGGACTCAGCATACATTTGGTTTTTCATATGCCCTCGGGGCATAGACCAAGAGCATATAGACAGGAACTAGAGGGAAAGATGGTGAATCATTAGGCAAATTCCAGATTATGAGTGCTGTTTAAGGGAGTGTTGAGCTATTTCAGGGAGGAGCGAGCTCTTTGTCAATGCATGGGTTCAAGAATTGACAGGACAGTTAGTGAAAGTTCAGGCATTAGATGGCCTTGAAAAATCCCTGCATCATGGGATTCTGTGATTCTGGGGTATTCGAGAATGGGAGCAGAAGATAAATTGTCAGTAATGCCTTGGAGTTACAGAATGAAGAGAAATGTCTTTTCGAAGTAAGTAATATTCTTTTTTCCCTTGCCCACATCAACCAGAAACCCCTCAGTTCCTACACATGGGTGAGATCATAGATGGTATAGACATGAGAGCTGAGGTTGGAATTCTCACCCGGAATGTTGTTATCCAAGGAGAAGTGGAAGACTCATGCTACGCAGAAAATTTGTGCCAATTTTTTGATTATGACACCTTTGGAGGACACATTATGGTATGATGATTTCCTTAAAATCCTGGTTGCTAACTACATGTTTAAAGACACTTTCACGTTTTGGAATGACATATATATAGATCTTAAAAAGAAATTTTGTTTTATTTCTCTCTTAAATGACAATGAGGAGGTTTTAGATAATTAAAAGGGAAAGTTTTGCCTTCATTTGGTTGATCTGGACCTGTAGTTAAACTATTTAAGAATTGTTTAAGGAAGAGTTAAATCAGTATATTGGGAAGGACCTATTACACAGAGACAAACAATGAAGGATCTTAGTGTCTGAGTATGCAGTTTCTGAAATAATCAATTGGTTCTTTTAAAAACATGATATTACTAAAGGGTAAGCAGTAAATACTAAATGTATTTCTGGAAATGTACTTCTGTGTGCAGATTTTTGTCCTGTAAAAATATCGAGCACTGACTATATGGTGAGCTGTATTCCATATACTAATCTAGACTTCTGGGCTACATTTTGGCTATGTAAAACCACTTTCTATGTACTGTGGTTGTTAGTAAGAAATTTCTGTTACACTGATTTCTGAAATGTTGATCAGTGTTATTCTCTTGTTTTTAGTATCATGATAAAAAATCCAGGGTTTAAAAATATTGAGAGTGCTCAAACTTTGGATCACAAGGGAATTTTTCAAAAGAACTTAATAGTATGTGTTAATTAAAACATTGGGGAGGATTTAGAAATAAATATCAAACTATAGTGGAGGTTATAGAAATGAAAGAATAAGATGGGACTGGGAAATGAGCAAAATATTTGAACGAATCAAAACACTTATGCAGAGATCGTGCTTGCAACTTTCCTGATTACATTGGCCTTTATTCTTAGTCGGAGGCTATTTTTATGACTCTATAAAGCATTTGTTTATGTAAAGAAGCATTTGCTAAATTATTAACTGGAAATCTGAGAAAATAGTATGCAAAAGACAATAAATGTTTTAATATGGATTTTCCTTCAGATGTTTTCTATTAAAACAATATTTTTTTGCTACTCTCGTTCTAAAAAGTATCAAGTTGATTTTGGTTCCTTGTTTTGCAGATCAAGAAAAATTTTACCTCCGTCCATCTTTCTTATGTGGAATTGAGACGCATGGGTCAGCAGCAGCTGGGGCGCTATCCTGTTCATTTTCACCTGTGTGGCGATGTGGATTATAAAGGAGGGTACAGACATACAACATTTGTGGATGGCCTGTCTATTCATCATAGCTTCTCAAGGTGCATCACTGTGCATGGGACAAACGGCTTGCTTGTAAGTAGCCTTACGTTATGTTGATGCATATTATGGAAGCGGCTAACTTCTTAATTTTCATGATGTCTCAGTTATATGGAATTAAACTGTTTAGCCACATGCCTTTCTCTGTCCTCTTCTGACAGAGTTTTGCTGTTTTTCAGTCTGAAAGAAGCCTACTTTTTAACCACCCAAATTATCCTCTTTTACATTAAATTTAACTTTATATTGTATTTATTTATTTATTTATTTTTGAGTTGGAGTCTCACTCTGTCACCCAGACTGGAGTACAGTGGCCATTCCCGGCCACTGCAGCCTCGACCTGTTGGGCTCTGGTGATCCTTCCGCCTCAGCCTTCCAAGAAGCTGGAACTACAGACGTGTGCTACCACGCCCGGCTAATTTTTTGATTTATTGTAGAGATGAGGTCTCGCCAAGTTGTCCAGGCGGATCTTGAACCCATGGGCTCAGGCAGTCCACTCACCTCAGCCTCCCAAAGCACAGGATTACATACAGGCTGAGCCACCGAGCCTGGCTGTATTTGTTTATTTTAAAGGAAATTCACTTTATTTTATTCTATTTTATTTTTTCCCCTGTGAAATCCAAGCAAATTATTCTGTCTAGAGATAAATAAAACCTGAAATTTGACTTTGCTGGTTCTGCTAAGATTAAAACTTCTTTTTAGGCCGGGCGTGGTGGCTCAAGCTTGTAATCCCAGCTCTTTCGCAGGTCGAGGCCAGAGGATTACCTGAGCCCACGGATTCGAAACCAGCCTGGGCAACATGGTGAGACCTTGTCTCTACAATAAATCAAAATATTAGCCAGGCGTGGTAACGTGCGCCTGTAGTTTTGGCTACTTGGAAGGCCGAGGCGAAAGGATTGCAGGAGCCCAGCAGTTCGATGCTGGGATGGCCATGAGTGTGCCACTGCATTCCAACCTGGGCGACTGAATGAGACTCCAACTCAGAAAACAAAAAACAAACTTCTTTTTGCATTTATACTGAACACATTACACTGGAGAGCACTTGTGTCTTAAATCACAATCAATGTTGTTATCAATAACATTGTACACTTGTATTTCTGCAGATAAAAGACACCATTGGATTTGACACACTTGGTCATTGTTTCTTTTTGGAAGATGGTATTGAACAGAGAAATACTTTGTTCCACAATCTGGGACTCCTCACCAAACCAGGCACTCTCCTCCCTACTGATAGGAACAACTCCATGTGTACCACCATGCGGGAAAAAGTGTTTGGAAATTACGTCCCTGTGCCTTCCACTGACTGTATGTGAGTAACTGGCAGAGAGAAAATCTCGTGTGTGATGGTCAAGGCCTCTAACTTTTGGGGAAGACTTTTTTGTGGGAAGTTTTTAATGGGTAGGATTTTTCATGAAGAATGTTTAAATTACCTTCAAAAATGCCTTGCAGGGCTGTTTCAACTTTCTGGATTGCTCATCCCAACAATAATCTGATTGATAATGCAGCTGCAGGCTCACAGGTAAATAATATTAAAGTGTTTTCAGATTTTTTGTATTATTTTGTATTTATAAACACTTGGGATTTTATGGATGTGATGTCCTGTGTGCCAGGGTAACCAAAGCATGGCATTGTTTTCTGCTCCAACTTGTTTAGTTGAGAGCAGGAAATGTTTGAGATGGTTCTTCTGTCTCTTCTAAATCCTTTGTGCCAGTTAGTGTCTATGCGTGTAATAAGACAGATGCTGAAGGGAGGAAAAGAGGTGAGCTAATCTCTAGGGTTATGTCATCTCTAGAGTGTATTTTTGGTGTGTCATATAGTCTTTCTGGCTTCTCACATTTAAATTGTATATGGGGCCGGGCTCGGTGGCATAGCCTGTAATCCCAGCACTTTGAGAAGCCTAAGTGAGAGGATTGCCTAAACCCAGGGATTAGAGACCAGCCTGGGCAATTTGGCCAGACCTTGTCTCTACAATAAATTTTTAAAAATTAGCCAGGGCCGGGCTTGGTGACTCAGCCTGTAATCCCAGCATGTTGGGAGGCCGAGGCGAGTGGATTGCCTGAGCCTGTGCGTTCGAGACCAGCCCAGGCAACTTGGCAAGACCTTGTTTCTACAGTAAATAAAACATCAGCTGGGCATGGTAACATGCACCTGTAGTTCTGGCTACTTGGAAGGCTGAGGCAGAAGGATCGCCAGATACCAGCAGGCCGACACTGGGGTGGATGTGAGTGTACCACTGTACTCCAGCCTGGGCAATAGAGTGAGACTCCAACTAAAAATAAATAAATAAAAAATAAATCATATATGGCTGAGTAAATGATCATTTTGATTTCTAGTGTTGATGAACAAAGAAACCTTAGCTTTGTTTTATGGAAATGGATGATTCTGTGTTATACTGCAACAGTTGATATTCTGGGTAAGAGGCACATCCTCTTGTTAAATGCAAGGATTTATATGCATGTGGAAATTTCATCTCCTTGCTAAAGCAGCTAAACTCAGCTATGTGTCATGATTATTTAAGAAACATACACCGACCAAGCACGATGACTCATGCCTGTAATACCAGCACTTTGGGAGGTGGAGGTGGGAGGATTGCGTGAGTCCAGGGATTTGCTACAATGGCTGTGAGCGTACCACTGCATTCCCAGCCTGGGTGACAGAATGAGACTCCAACTCAAAAAATAAAAATAAAATAAGACACATACACACACACGAGAATACTTTTTTTTTTTTTTGAGTCGGTGTCTCTCAGTTGACAAGGCCAGAGTGCAATGCATGATCATGGCTTACCACAGCCTTGACTTCCTAGGCTCAAATGATCCTTCTGCCTCAACCTCCCAAGGAGCTGGTACTGCAGGCATGCGCCATCATGCCCAGGTACTTAAAAAATTTTTTTTTTGTAAAGACAGACTTTTGCTATGTTGCCCAGGCTGGTCTCCTGGGCTCAAGCAATCCTTCTACCTTGGCCTCCCAAAGTGTGGTGTACAGGCGTGAGCCACTGCGCCCAGCTGAGAATAATTTTTAAGTGAATAAGTGAATTCTTTTTGGATAGTAGAAATGTCCTCTGGAAAAGCTAAAAATATTTACATATATAATTGAGAATGATTTAACATGACTAATTTATCTAAATGAATCTTTTAAGGCATTATGCTATTGACTTGTAACTGCTGAAAACTACATTATATGAACTTTGCAGCAGTACCTAAGTATTCCTGTTTGTACATCATGGCTGTTTAACATTTTTAATTTTTTAAAATTAATTTTTCTCTTTTAAAATTTTTAAAAAATTTTTAAATATATGGGGTGCAATTCAGGGTTATGTATACAAGTAGTAATCATAAACTTTTTTTAAAGGAAAGAAATACCTAATATTGTTTTCTAGAATGAAGTAAAAGATTAAGAGAGTATTTTTTTTGCATTAAGAAGAATACAGGCATCACTAGGTGATGGTTGAACACACATCTGTGTTTTTCCTTAAAAGTAAAACATAATCTGAAGATTCCTTTCAGATGAAGATTCTTTTTTTTTTTTTTGAGTTGGAGTCTCATTCTATTGCCCAGACTGGAGTGCAGTGGCACGCTCCCAGCCATCGCAGCCTCGACCTGCTGGGCTCTGGCGATCCTTCCACTTCAGCCTTCCAAGTAGCTGGAACTACAGGCGCGCACTACCACACCCGGCTAGTTTTTGATTTATTGTAGAGACGAGGTCTCGCCAAGTTGCCCGGGCGGGTCTCAAACCCACAGGCTCAGGCAATCCACTCGCCTCGACATCCCAAAGTGCTGGGATTACAGGCTGATCCACCGAGCCTGGCCTCAGATAAAGATTCTTATTTGACAGGGCAGAGACATGGACTTTTGGTCATTTCACATTTTCGTCCATTTAATTTCCATTAAATATTTGTTGAGCCTATATGGGGCTGAGAGTTTCTTTTCTTTTCTTTTCTTTTTTTTGAGTATGAGTCTCACTCTGTTTCCCTGACTGGAGTGCAGTGGCACACTCATGGCCACCACAGCCTCAACCTGCTGGGCTCAGGTGTTACTTCTGCCCCAGCCTTCCAAGTAGCTGAAACTACAGGTCCACGTCACCATGCCCAGCTAATGTTTTGATGTATTATAGAGACAAGATCTCACCAAGTTGCCCAGGCTGGTCTCGAACCCCTGGACTCAGGCAATCCTCTCACCTCAGCCTCCCAAAGTGCTGGGATTACAGGCATGAGCCACTGCTTCTGGCTGGGGCTGAGAGTTTCTAACTGAAAAGTAAGTTTTTGAGTAAAATGACCAAGAAGTTGATGTACAGTCATACTTGGTATCATCTTCTGATCTATGTGGCTTTAAAAGTCAAAAGCCAGAGTACAAAGACTTTTTTCAGTTCTTTTCAGAAGTCTGAGGTTGAAGGTTAAAGCAAATTGCAAGGAATCCATGAAAAATGTAACCTGACGCTATGGCTCATGTGAGAAAAGAACACATTTCATGTATGTTCTTCATTTTTATTCTGTGAGCTATTTCTTTCTTTTCTCTCTAGAAAAACTTTTCCAGCAAAGCCAATTTTGGCAGAGTTTTTTCTCCCAAAGTAAATCAAACCATTTTTCATTGTACCTTTCCACTGCCTTTTACAAAGCTCCTTTTACCTGTGTTGACACCACAGTGTTTAACGGGAAACAGCTGCTACCCTCTTATGTGCCGCCTCTCCCTCCATCCCCAAACTCCATGTAGCCTGGGAGAGCCCGCTCTGCCCTCAACTTACAGGTCTCACGATCCGGTTTTCTTGCTGAGCCTCCAAGTCCTCTTCCATTGAGTTGTCTGTTTGTGCCCAAAAGAGTTGAGGTGGCAAACATTTTTCAGAGTAGATTGTTTTATTAAGACTCATTTGTCAACTTTTATCATGGAAAATGTTATATACGGCATTTCTTCGGTGTTTAGGTATATATGGTTTCCACAATTCATCCCTCCTCTATGCTTCCAATAGATTTTATTTGTTACAACTAATATAGTACTTATTACCTATGGTATATTTTAGTTATTTCCATATTGCTTGAGAATATATATATAGAATATATAAGTATATATATATATAGTATATATAAAGTATATAAATAATATATACCTATGGTATATTTTAGTTATTTCCATATTGACTGTGAATTGCTTGAGAAGAGTCTTACTGTATACCTGGCACATAGTGGGCACTAAATAAATGTGTGCTGAATTTGAATTAATACTGTCCTTTTATACTGTGTGTTTAATACTGTGTGTTAACAACCTATTTAATCAAAGTTCCATGTTGTGAAGTTGTCCTTCACATTGGGCTGGCTTTTAATTAATTTGTAAAATAAAAAGTTTTCATGGAAATTAAGAACATTTATTTTCATTTTCATATCTCACTTTGAGTGTCAAAAGATTCTTCTACTTGTGTTATGGTCAGTAATACTGAAGTTAAATAGACAAGGTCCAGACTGAGACAGCATCCTGATTCATACATGTGGTGGTTTTTTTCTCTTTGGCAAAAATTTGCCTTGGGACAGGAAAGGCATTGGAGTTTGAAAGAAGTCAGTGAGCTCTGCATGCTGGCAGACAGTTGTTTAATAGGCATGACTCATCTATTGATCAAGTTTGGAGGTAAACAGAAAAAAACCATATTGCTTAACGGCTGTGCTGTCTTGGTCACATGGAAGGCTTATTTGGTTCTAATTCTGCATAACTTTTTAAAGTAGATAATGTGGGAAAGTTATTTTGAAAATACATTTTGGTTTCACTGAATTATTTCCATTTTTTTTTCCAATCCTGCAACCAAAATTAAATCTGCTTTTCAAAAAAACATGATGTAACTGTTTTGAGGATGTTAGATGTATGTCCAACTTTTAATAGTCAATTCTGAACCTGAAACAAAAATTTGTGTTAAAAAGATTAAACTTGCTTATGAAGCAGTTAGTTTATAAGAGTGCTTCATAGAGTGACTTTATAAAGTAGGACTTTTAATGATCTTTCCCTCTTATTTATAGGATGCTGGAATATGGTATTTATTCCACAAAGAACCTACTGGGGAATCCAGTGGACTGCAGCTATTAGAGAAACCAGAACTAACTCCATTGGGCATATTTTATAACAACAGGGTCCATTCAAATTTCAAGGTAGGTTCCTAACTTTTAACAATTGGTACATATAATGTACAGAGTAAAGGATGAACTACAGTGGTTATATTTTAGTCCATTTTGTGCTACTATAAGTAAATACCACAGGCTGGGTAATTTATGATGAACAGAAATTCATGTGCATGTGTGCATTGTCCATACTTGTGTATATCAATGGAATGCAATATATATATTCTGAACATGGAAGAGTTAAGAGTTGCTTTTTTTAAATCACAAGTTACTTTCTCTGGTGACATGGTCTACCCAAAATGGACATTTTCCAGCTGTGATTTGCTATGGTTTGACTACGTTTGCTATGGTTTGGCCCCCAGTTCTGGAGGCTGGGCAGCCCCAGATCAAATGACCAGCATCTGGCAAGGGCCTTCTTGCTGTGTCATCCAATGGAGGAAGGGCAAAGAGTGGGCAAGAGAGGACAAGACATTGAACTTACAGCTTCAAGCCCTTTTATAGGGGCATTAATTCATTCATGAAGATGGAGCCCTCATGACTTAAGCACTTCTCATTAGGCCCCACCTCCCAACCCTTTTGCATTGGGGATTAAGCTTCAAACACAGACTTTTTGGGGGGACGTTGTCAAACCATAGCAAATCACAGCTGGAAAATGTCCATTTTGGGTAGAACATGTCACCAGAGAAAGTAATTTGTGATTTAAAAAAAGCAACTCTCTAGCCGGGCGTGGTAGCGCGCGCCTGTAGTTCCAGCTACTTGGAAGGCTGAGGCAGAAGGATCGCCAGAGCCCAGCAGGTCGAGGCTGCGGTGGCCGATAGCGGCCACTGCACTCCAATCTGGGCGACCAAGTGAGACTCCAACTCAAAAAAAAAAAAAGCAACTCTTAACTCTTCCATGTTCAGAATGTATATATTGCATTCCACTGGTACACACAAGTATGGATAATGCACACATGCACATGTAATCTGAAAAATTACTTAATGGACTGGATCCATGTGTCCTCTTCCTCATTCCTTCCCTCCCTCCTCCTCATCCTTTTTCCAATCTTTAATGTCATTACATGTGTATAGGAATGTATATTAGAAATATTTGACCTAATTTAAAAAGATCAAGTGACCTCAAGGCCATTTAGGAACTCTAGTTTCCATGATATTTGGAACCCCCCCATGATAAATATATTTGGTTCATTTTGTACTTACAAGGCATTTTAATATCTTTATTTTATATGCATGATGTCAAGATCCTTTGCTCTGGTGTGACCCACACCAAAGCTCATAAATAATTTCCATTTATGATACTCAGAGGATCCTTTAAAAACTTAAGTGCGCTATTATTTGAAGAGCTTAGAATCATTTGATGAGGAGTTGGAAAATTTTATACTATATAAAACTTTTGTGAGCTAAATAGTTGATTAAGGCAATAATGATTGAAAATGGTACTTTGGGCCGGGCTTGCTGGCTCCGCCTGTAATCTCAGCACTTTGGGAGACTGAGGCGAGTGGATTGCCTGAGCCCGTGGGTTCAAGACCAGCCGGGCAACTTGGTGAGACCTCGTCTCTACAATAAATAAAAAATTAGCTGGGCATGGTAGTGCCTGCCTGTAAGTCTGGCTACTTGGACGGCTGAGGCGGAGGGATCACCGGAGCCCAGCAGGTCGAGGCTGCAGTGGCCAGGAGCATACCACTGCACTTGAGTCTGGGCGACAGAGTGAGACTCCAACTCAAAAGAAAAGAAAATGGCACTTTGAAGTAGAAATCTTTAAATTTTCTTTTTTTAAAATAATTATATAAATTTTTTATTTTAAAATTGTGGAGTACAGTTAAGGGTTAGGTATACAAACATTCATTGTGCAGGTACCCTTGTTGAAGAGGTATGTCCCCAACTCCCCAGACAGATATAGACTACCGTTAATCCCACCTCCCTGCCCCTCCCTGCCCCCCCCAGTAGTTTCCCGCCACTGTCAATTCTTTTCTTATAGTATTTCAGTAGTTGTTCAAGGTCCACTTATGAGTGAGAACATGTGATACTCAGATCTTTGTTTCTGTGAAAGATCATTCAGTATTATAAACTCTAATTCCATCCAGTATTATAAACTCTAATTCCATCTAATTCCATCCACTCTAATTTGCTGCGAAATTCATGATTTTTTTTTTTATGGCCGCGTAATATTCCATTGTGTATATGTACCACATCTTTTAAATCCATTCCTCTTTTGATGAACAGCACAGTTGGTTCCATGATCTTGCTATTGTGAACAATGCTGCGATAAACATATGTGTGCAGGTATCTTTTTCATAGAGTGATTTGAGTTCTTCTGGGTATATTCCCAGTAGAGGGATTGCAGGGTCATATGGAAGATCAATTATTAGAACTTTTAGGAATCGCCACACTGATTTCCACAGAGGCTGTATTAATTTACACTCCCACCAACAGTGTAGAAGTGTTCCTTTTCGCCACATCCTCTCCAGCATCTGTTTTTTTCTGAGTTATTGATGATGGCCATTCTGACTGGAGTTAGGTGGTATCTCAGTGTAGTTTTAATTTGCATCTCCTTGATGACTAATGAGGCTGAACGTTTTTTCATGTATCTGTTGACGGCTCGTATGTCTTCTTTTGAGAAGTATCTATTCATATCTTTTGCCCACTTTGTAATGGGGTTGTTTGTGTGGTTTTTTTTTTTTGCGTCACATTTGAGTTCCTTGTAGATCCTTGATGTTAGGCCTTTGTCAGACATGGAGTTGGCAAATACTTTCTTCCAGTCTGTGGGCTGTCTCCCTGTTCTCTTGATGGTTTCTTTGGCTTTGCAGAAGCTTGTCAGTTTAATGAGGTCCCACTTGTCTATCTTATCTCTTACGGCCTGTGCATTTCAGATTTGTAAGTGGCATAAAAAACACCTTGTTCTAAATAATTTTTAATGTCAATATCATGATGACATGTAGTAATCGACTCTATTAATTTTGAGAATATTAAATCTAAACAATATGAATGGATGATTAGATTTCAATTTGTTAAATTTGGGCATGTCTATCCAGGATAATATTTTATAGCCAAAGGAAATTGAATTCTTGGGGTACTCAAAAAGAAACCTACCATTTTAGAATCTCGTATAAATAAACACACACCCCAGTCCTTTGGCTTTAATGGCTAATGTCTCCCCAATCTATATCTAGTTCAGGTTAGTCATACTTATTCTCATTGAATGTCTCATGGACACATAAATAAAACACGTTCAAAACTAAAATCCTTAGTGTTAGGCCCAGACCTATTCCTGTATGTCTGTTTCTGTAAATAAAAACACTAGTCACCGAGTTGTCTAAACCAAAATATATGAGCTTTTATTGCTCTCTTTCCCTCATTTCCAGGCATTTTATCAATCACTAAATGATATCAATTCTACCTAGTAAAGAATACCAACACTATTTTCCTCTGTTACTACTGCCACAAGTCTAGGTCATCTTTATTTTTCTTCTGGATTACTGAAATAATTTTCTACTTTACTTTTATTAAATTTTGTCTTTGCCCTTTTCAATCCATTTTCCACTTTGTAGTTACAGTGTATTTTCTTTTTCTTAAAATGCAATGGGTTACGATGCCTTTATTAAAGTCCCATTGACCTAACTTCTATAGCATATCAATGCCACATGATCTGACATTTGCTCCCCATCAGCTTTCTTTCTTACCTTTCCGCCTGTCATACATCTTGTTAGTCCATCAAGCATTTTTTTTCTTGGATGTTCCATGCATTTTATATAAACAATTTCTTTGAGTGCTTTTCTCTGGCTCCTTAACTGCTTCTGCCCACCCCTTCCCTGTGTCCCCAACCCACTCTTTTGCGTGGTTGATTCCTCTCCATCTTTCTGATTTCAACTTTAGGAGGTCACTTTTTTTTTTTTTTTTTTTGAGTCAGGGTACCTGTCAGGGTACCTGTCCCTCAGGCTGGAGTGCATTGGCACAATCACAGCTCACCACAGCCTCAACCTCCTGGGCTCAGACAATCCTTCTGCCTCAGCCTCTCAAGTAGTTGAGACTATAGGCACATGTAACCATGCCTGGCTAATTTTTTTTTATTTTTATTTTTAATTAATTATTTATTTTGAGTTGGAGTCTCACTCTGTCGCCCAGACTGGAGTGCAATGGCACGCTCCCGGCTACCGCAGCCTCGACTTGCTGGGCTCCGGCGATCCTTCCGCCTCAGCCTTCCAAGTAACTGGAACTACAGGTTCGTGCTACCATGCCCAGCTAGTTTTTGATTTATTGTACAGAAGAGTTCTTGCCAAGTTACCCGTGCGGGTCAGGAACCCGTGGCCTCAGACAATCCTCCCAAAGTGCTGGGATTACAGGCTGAGCCACCGAGCCTGGCCTAATTTTTTTTATTTTTATTTTTGTAGAGACGAGGTCTTGCTATGTTTCTTAGGCTGGTCTTGAACTCCTAGGCTCAAGTGATCCTCCCGCATTCACATCCCAAAGTGCTGGGATTATAGGTGTGAACCACCATTCCCAGTCCAGAGGTCACTTCTCTCAGGAGACATTCCCTGAATTCTCTCACTCCCATCCATGAGAAAGGCCTCATGTAGGTGCCTTTCTTTTCTGCTCAAGCTTATCATCTGCTACTTTATCGTATGCTTATCATATTGTAATTGTCTATTTAATTGCATGTCTTCCTGCTAGTTTTTGTGTCAGTAACAGCAAGGATCATAATCTTTCTTGTTAATTAATATATAATTATTTTTATTTTATTTTATCTTTTTTTTTTGGAGTCTCACTCCTGTTGCCCAGGCTGGAGTGCAATGGCATGCTCACGGCCATCTCAGCCTTGACCTGCTGGGCTCAGGTGATCCTTCTGCCTCAGCCTTCCAAGTGGCTGGAACTACAGATGCGTGCCACCACGCCTGACTAGTTTTTGTGATTTACTGTAGAGATGAGATCTCACCATGTTGTCCAGACTGGTCTCGAATCCCAGGGCTCAGGCAATCCTCTTGCCTCAGCCTCCCCAAGTGCTGGAATTACAGACTGAGCCACTGCACCCAGCACCAATGTATAACTCTTGATGCTTACCACTGGGTAGGCACTAAATAAATATTTGTTGAATGACCCCATAAAGTTATTTAAAATATTCAGGAAAGTAGTTGTATTTCACCACACCTTTGGTATTTATCCCCCGCCCCCTTTTTTGGTAGAAGTGGTTAGCTAAAACTTATTTTCATGAACCTTTATATATGTAGATGTAACTTGGGATTCATATTTATTCTAGTCCATTATTATATTTTCAGGCTGGCTTATTTATTGACAAAGGTGTCAAGACAACCAACTCTAGTGCTGCTGACCCAAGAGAATACCTCTGTTTGGATAACAGTGCAAGGTACAACTGATTCTTTAAAATCATACTCAAGTCATATCTTGCTGAAGCAAAGCTTTCCAACTGAAACACACTGTGTTCCTTTCTCTAATGACACATACATTTAAAAATTTTTTTGTAGAGACGGGGTCTCGCTTTGTTGCCCAGGCTGTTCTTGAGCTCCTAACTTCAAGCAAGTCTCTTAAAGTAGTGCTGGGATTACAGCATGAGCTGATAGCACATTTTAAATTAAGTTTTAAGAGTTTATGGAAGGGTTTTTGGAAAATCGTTGATCGTGGTTTTTCAGATTTTGTGACTAGGCTTTTATTTTATTGACGTGCCAAAGATGTTGATGCTTTTCTCCTTTTTTACAGCTAGAAATTGATGTCAGAGAGAATTGCAGAGAGAGAAAGAAAAAGAAGAGATATGTTGAAAAAGAGTCTTGATTTGGCAGAGTGTAATTCACTGAAAAATAAGTTAAACTAAGATGTTTAGTCTAATCCCTGAAAACCAAACTATATAGAATTTATTCTTAGTGGTCAAATGGAACATTGTTTGGAATCTGTTTCAAGGGGAACGATCCCAAATTTGATGATCAGGCTGGTTCTGGTTCAGTCATTTTAACCTCACATTTACATCACAGCCAGGCTCTTTATAGCCACAAAATGTGGTTAGGATATGGACTGGCATTTCAGCAAATTCCCTTATGTGCTAAATGTGAGCCAAAATAAATAAAATATCTCAAATGAAGATAAAATTTTCTGGACAAGATGGCAACTTAAAGTCATACTCAGTAGATGTCATGAACATACTATCTTTCCCTACTTCAAATTGATTGACTAGTTTACAGAGTTGATAGGATGCTAGATTTAATAGACTTTGTTGATAGACACTTAAGAACACTAGGCCCTATTGTTCATAGGGAAACTGCATGTAGACTGGTGAGTCTGACTTAAGGGTGAAGCAAAATCCTTGCACAAAATTAGTAAGACATGAGGTCAAGAAAAAACTAGAGGAAGTATGGTTGGCAAAATTACTCATCAGGATTCCTTAAAAGTCAAGTTGAGCCTAAAAAAATTTTTTTTTTTTCAGTCAGAGTCTCACTGTCATCCAGGCTGGCGTGCAATAGCACTCTGCTCATGGCCACCACAGCCTCCACCTGCTGGGCTCAGGCGATCCTTCTGCCTCAGCCTTCCAGGTAGCTGGAACCACAGGCATGCGCCACCATGCCCGGCTACTTTTTTGATATGTTGTAGTGATGAGTTCTCACCATCTTGCTCGTGCTGGTCTCAAACTCCCGAGCTCAGGCTTTGCCTCCACCACCCAAAGTGCTGGGATTATAGGCTAGAGCCACTGCACCCAGCCAGATCCTGAGTATATATATATATATATATATATTTATAATTTTTTTTTTAGATTAGAGAATATAGTTTATTTAGAAAGTGAATTAGAGAGAAAGAGGAGATTCACTTCCCCAAGATAGGGGAGCAGGGCCAAAGCCAGGAAGCATGGTGACAGGCATAGCTCAGGGAGCACATGGCCACACCAGAGTCCAGCAAGGCAATGGCAGCAATGTTCTGGCCCCTGAGATATTTTGATGCAGTGGTCAGATAGCATTTGAGAAGCCTAGAAACTGGGCATTATTTAAATACAGCAGAAGGTACTGATACCTAGTAGCCAATCAACTTATGAAATGGAAAAATAAGGCAGATAAACTTAAGAAAAAGGAGTATATAGATGACAACAAATTACGAACCAGGAAGAAAATATTAGTTAGCAAGATAAATCTATGTTAGAAGGTCACTGCTGTTCTTTTGGTTTTAAAGTTTATAATAACTGGTGGAACAAGTTATGTGTACTTTGCTTAGTGTTGCCAGAAAAATCCTCAAGCAGAAACAATTGGCTCTCCTCCCTGCCTTAAAAAGTTATTTATAGGGCCAGGCTCTGTGGCTCAGCCTGTAATCCCAGCACTTTGAGAGGCTGAGGCGAGTGGGTTGCCTGAGCCTGTGGGTTCGAGACCAGCCCAGGTAACTTGGTGAGACCTCATCTCTACCAAAAAAAAAAAAGTTATTTATATATGTATGTTTATGTGTGTAAGTATAATATGTGTTTATATTTGTACATGTGTGTGTTTGTGTGTGTGTATGAATGAAGGAGTAAATATACTTAGGAATCCATTGATATTTTAAATAGATTTAACAGAAAAGCAATTTACCCCAAATGATTTAATGATTTAAGAAGTTCTTTACCAAATGTGTATATGTGATGTTATGAAAATGGTAATCTTTCCACTGTTCTCCATTATTAATTTCTCTTACCAGTTTATAAATACATATTGATAAGGAATTGAGTTCCAAGTGAAAGTTGAAAAGAACTTATTATAGAAGAGGAGTAATAAGACATTGACAGCTTATACATATTCCTAATTTTGTATAAATTAGTATATAGAATATGGTCACATGTATTCATGCAATCCAGACATGAGTAATAAAGCTAACATAAATGAGTAATAAACCCATTCATCAATTAAACACCAGCCTCAGGGGATCCAGAAGATATTTAGTCTTTTCATCAAAGAGGAAGTTGACTCAGCAGTTAATCAGATAAGACTTCCCTTGTGTCTTCAAGATGTGAAATTACAAGAATCCAAAGATGGGAAATTTTAACTCAAGAGAGGTCTTGATTCACCATTTGAAAATTTTCATCTAAAAGAGTGAACATTTCAACTAGTACATTTGAAGTGGAGTACAGTTAAGGGAGGGATGGGAAGTATGCTGAAAACTCACTGATGATGATAGAATACTGGAAAAATTAACTGTGTTTTCTATAAATCAAGTGAAAGAGAAGATGAAAATAAAGGGTATTAAAGCAAGTGGTCCATGATTGACTTACGTGGATGGAAGTTCAGAAAAGATGAGATGGTTTACAGCAGAAAATCAGATGTTGTTCTGTATTACTCTCTCTTTCTTTCTTTTCTTTTCTTTTCTTTTTTTTTTTTCAGTTGGAGTTTCACTTTGTTGCCCGGGCTGGAGTGTAGGGGCACAATTACAGATCACCATAGCCTCAACTTCTGGGCTCAGGCCATCCTTCTGCCCACAGTCTCTTGAATAGCTAGGACTATAGGCACACGCCACCACATCTGGCTAATTTTTAAATTTTTTTTGAAGAGACAAGGTCTAGCCATGTTGCCTGAGCTTATCTTGAACTCCTGGGTTTAAGCAGTCCTTCCACTTCAGATCTCCAAAGTGGTGGGATTACAGGTGTGAGCCGTCATACCTGGTCATTTTTTTTTTTTTTTAAATAGGGGGCCTTATACGGTTATTTATTTGAGTTGTTACACTGGACAGTTTTTGACACCATTTTTTTTTTTACCTTTTCATTGGGATTCTTGTAAGTGTTTTAGAGGAAAGAGAAAGAACAGGTCAAAGTCTTTATAATAAAAAAGTCAGTTAAATGCAGTCTGTTTTAAATTTAGGTATTTTCAAGATATTTTAGTGCCTATATCTAAACCATTTAAGTAGCACATAACTCAAATTGTACATAGTTCACATACATATATGTTGAGATACATGATTAATTTATTGAATGTTATATTAATGATATATAGCTTATAATAATTTGTTAAGGCATATCAGATTTCCTGGTGTGATTTTTTTTTTTTAAGAATTGATTTTTGTGCTTATAATAATCTGCAGTATTCATTCTATAAGTTGATTTAAAAGAAGTAACTAAGAAAGTGTAAAGGTAGTTCTCTGGAGACTTGTATGTAAATTAAGTAATTTTTTTCCATGAATATTTAAAATATAAATACATTGTGTCAGGATTTTTGTTTGTTTTGGTCAAATTTAAATCCTTCTTCTTGACACTTAAACTTATAATTGTTATTAGCTAACTTTTATGGCCTTTATATTACTTTTTTAAAGTTCTTTTTTTTAATCCCCAGATTTCGACCTCATCAGGATGCAGACCCTGAAAAACCACGTGTTGCTGCTGTAATTGACAGGGTTATTGCTTTTAAAAATAATGATAATGGAGCTTGGGTCAGAGGGGGAGACATTATCGTTCAGAATTCAGCGTGAGTATTCTTTACCAAAGTTATTGTATGATGACACTGATGTGTTTATTTTTTTTTTTTTTTAATTTAAAATTTTTTCTTTTTTTTTTTTTTTTTTTGAGTTGGAGTCTCACTCTGTCGCCCAGACTGGAGTGCAGTGGCCGCTCCCGGCCACCGCAGCCTCGGCCTGCTGGGCTCCGGCGATCCTTCCGCCTCAGCCTTCTGAGTAGCTGGAATTACAGGCATGCGCCACCATGCCCAGCTGATTTTTTGATTTATTGTAGAGATGAGGTCTCGCTGCCCAGGCGGGTCTCGAACCCGCGGGCTCAGGCAATTCACTCACCTCAGCCTCCCAAAGGCGCGGGATTACAGGCTGAGCCACCGAGCCTGGCGATGTGTTTATTTTTAAGGATTTTTTTTTTAAGCCAGTAAAATGAAAATACAGTGGTGGTTCCTGGAATTATATTATTATTAATAGACAAGACAAGTTCTGAGGAAGTATGCTAGATTAACAGACTGCAAATGTTTGAAATTGTCTCATTCTGGTGCTTTTATTGGAACTGAACTTGTCTGGTGACATGAGAGGTTTTTGATGAGATTGAACAGAAACTGGGAATTTAACTTTATATAACAAGCATGGTCTATGTCAGAAGAGCTAAATAAAGATATTGAAACTATGTGGATTTTTTTTCCTTCCTCTTGGAAACTCTGAAGTTTTTTTGATGGTTTTCCATTGCCATTGAAAATAAAAGCTGTATAATTCCACCTTAATAAGTCTGTTGACTTATGTCTTAGCATGACTTGAAGCAGTAAGCGTCTTACTTTTTACAAATTCTGTTTGTATAATTTTGGGAGAGGTCTGATGCATGTTGAGCTAAGATTTAGGGTTAAACATTCTAGAAAAAAGTTTTTTTCTGACACTGACATCAATTTCTTGATCTTTGACCATCATGTCTAACTTTTATCATCCAGAAAATTGATACTGTATTCAATCTTTAGAAGTGGTGTGGGTATCATGTCAAGAATTTTGAAAGTAATACCACAATCTAATTGTTTTTTTAAAAAGTTATAAAAATAATAACTAAAGTTCACACTTATATGGTGCTTACTTTGTACCAAACACTAGGCATTAATTAGGTATGTTTATTCTGTCAAGAATCCTATGGGGAAGGTTACATAATTATTTTAACCTTTAGATGGGAAAACTGAGGGAAACAGGTTGAGTACCTTTCTCAGAGTCACACAGCTTAATAATTGGCACAGCCAGGATTTTGTTCTGGGTACCCTCACTGCATATTCTTTATTCTTAGATATTATAAAGTGAAACTTTTGTATGGTCTTGGAGAGCATAAACATTGAAACCTCCTGGACTTAATCATAATTACATATTGAAAGAACTACCTCTTCTTACATGATGTGGTAAATAAAATGTTCCCTCATTCTCTCTTTTTCTTACAGATTTGCTGATAATGGAATAGGACTGACCTTTGCCAGGTTTGTAATTGCTGAAAAAATACTTATTTGACTTATTTTAAAGCAGTAAGGTAAAAATAGCCTCTGATATCTTTTTTTTTGTTTCCTTCTTTTTTGGGGATAACACATAGGAACATTCTATTATTTGTTAGCATTTTTAAAAAATTAGCACTCTCTTCCTGATACCACTAGAGGGCCAAAAAATTTTTTTCTTGATTAATTTAATTTATCCCAAAGTCACAGATTAATATAGCTGGAACTGCACAGAAGAGTAGGCCCGTCATAATTTTTGCTTAGATGAAAACATTTGAGATTTAGGCTAATGTTCTTAAAAAAACAGGGGAACAAAGAAGAAAGGAGTAAAAGCAGGGAGAAGATTAAAACTCAGTGTTTTCTTTCTCTGAAGCAGCTCTAATTTAGTGATGATCTTTGAGAACTAAACTTTTTGTGTTACATATTTCTCTCCAGGTAATAGTCATCCCTAGTTGTCATGTTAAGCGTGCTTGTCATTTATTTGTTTTATTAAGATCAAGTTTGCTCTTACCATTTGCAGTATTGTTGCTTGAGACTAGAACAGTCAGCTGATGTTGCTAAATTAAAAGTTCGTCTACAGCCGGGCTCGGTGGCTCAGCCTGTAATCCCGCGCCTTTGGGAGGCTGAGGTGAGTGGATTGCCTGAACTTGCGGGTTCGAGACCCACCTGGGCAACTTGGTGAGACCTCATCTCTACAATAAATCAAAAAATCAGCTGAGCGTGGTGGTGCATGCCTGTAATTCCGGCTACTCGGAAGGCTGAGGCGGAAGGATCGCCGGAGCCCAGCTGGTCGAGGCTGCGGTGGCCGGGAGCGGCCACTGCACTCCAGTCTGGGCAACAGAGTGAGACTCCAACTCAAAAAAAAAAAAAAAAACGTTCGTCTACATATAACTTGCAAACCATCTATTAATTTATAAGAGGTAATTTATGTTGTAGCTTGCCTTCATTTGAGAGTAAATTTAAATTTTGTGGAATTATGGCTAATGATTGTTCTCATTTTAACAGTGATGGAAGCTTTCCAAGTGATGTAGGTTCCAGCCAGGTGGTATCCGAATCTCTCTTTGTTGGGGAAAGCAGGAATTACGGCTTTCAGGGTGGTCAGAACAAGTATGTAGGCACTGGAGGAATAGACCAGAAGCCTCGGACATTACCTAGGAACAGGTAAGCATTGCTTTAGTGGTAGATACGTTTAAACAATAAAGGGAAATCTAACTCTCGGGGAAGTTTCTATAATAATCCTGGACGGATTGATTCTTACTGAGATTCTTCTTTTTTTTTTTGAGTTGGAGTCTCACTTGGTCGCCCAGACTGGAGTGCAGTGGCCGCTCCCGGCCACCGCAGCCTCGACCTGCTGGGCTCCGGCGATCCTTCCGCCTCAGCCTTCCAAGTAGCTGGAACTACAGGCGCGCACTACCATGCC